CCGTTACCACAGCAACAGGTGTAAATAGCAGCGAGCAACGTAATGATATTTCCTTAGCAAACTAGAGTAGGGTTCAGTTTGTGGACTGTTTTCAGTCCTTGAATTTACGCCTCCTTTCAGTGTCAAGTTCCAGCTCGCCTTCGTAGAGAGAGTCGCACTGTTTCCACCTGGTTTTAGTCTGTAAAGCTAATCCAACCATCTCATAGCGTCACCATAAGAGGGATCAGTCTTCTCAAACACTTTTCCTTTAGGTTTGTGCACAAGTGTATGTAAGAGTAACATTTGTCTGTGTGGGTGTTGGCCAGTGTGGCACTGTGAGTAGCCTTGTCGTGCTCTGTGTGTGTTAGTGCTGTGGAGAGATTTATGGCTGCTGTGTAAGGCTGCCGACGTCTCCGAGCGAGGAGGAGCTCCTCCTCTTCTTCTTCTTCTTCTTCTTCTTCTTCTTTGTCCTTCAGAAACTTTCCCCAGTGACCATCTGCACCGCCTCGCCGCCGTCTGATCCGTGTCTGGGAGCGCAGACCCCGCCGCCTCCTGTATTTGTGTTGGGCAGTAATGTATCGCTCCACTGTGGGTGTGATGAGTGGAATCTAAATGTAGCAGTAAAAAACTGCTCCGGGGGAGACTTAATGTATGAAAACACACTTTGTGACTCAGACGGTCGAGACAAAGTGGAGCTGTGGTGAAAAACCGTCTGATTCCCATAAATCTACATGTTGAGCTTGAAGCCGTTTGGATAGATCACTACTGTAACTCCAGTTATTTTAATGTCAACAAGGGATCAGTTGACTCTAATGTGCTGAGCTTTGTGGCTCAGCACTCAGAGGTTCTCCTTTCCAAGTCTGGTCCCTTGGTCTGAGGAGATGAACCCAGTTCTGTCTTGTGAACTGCAGCCAGTGAGTTCCTGATAATGACAAGCTCATGTTCAGCCAGCTCATATCTCACCCATGTTTTTGTTTCTTCTAATCCAGATGTGTGTGTTCTTGGTACAAAAGGCTCCTGTGGGTGTGTGGGTGCCACTCCCCTTCAGTGTGTTCCAGTTTTTGTCCATGTAAACGCTGTGAACTGCTACGTATTTGTTTAGAAGCTCCTATTAAGGCATTAGCTGCAGTTTCTAGTCATGTAAAGGTCAAGTTTGTTTATTTATTTATTTATTATTTTTAAAACCTGGCATGAACAGTCCTAATTACAGCTGCAGCGCTGAGTCTCTGCCCTAGTTATCATCAAACTGGGTTTCATTTAACTTCTTTTTATTCAGGCCAAAATGCACTGACTGAAGAAATGGAACCGATTGCCTATTATTAGGTATCGCTCTCCGTCAGCAGGGCAGCTCATGGGCTGTGTAACTGCCCATCAGCTGGTAGCTAATTATGCTAACAGACCAGGTGTGACGGCATCAATGAGGGTATGAGTAGTGTAACTGTTTAATCAGAGTCTGGCTGGACAACATCCTGTGTCTTATAGAACCAGAAACTCTGAAAGTCTGACTCGGTGCAGGAGCTGGAGAGCAGTCGGCAGTGAACTGTAAGTCACATCCGAGTCATAGCAGCAGCTGGGTGGGCATCACGGCTGGTGACGCTGCACAGGAGAGGAACGGGGATCCAGACGTGATTTAGGCTCTTGCGGTGTGTGTGTGTGTGTGTGTGTGTGTGTGTGTGTGTGTGTGTGTGTGTCATGCTGGTGTTGGATCCTGCTGTGTTCAGACTGTGTTGAACTCAGCAGCCTGACGAGCTGAGCTCAGAGCCTCTCACATTCCCAGACATCACACTCAGTTCAGTAGGTCAGACACATCTGGTTCTGTGTATGAGGAGACTCGACACGTTGAGCTCATCCAAGGTCGTGCATGTCAGACACACACACACAGGGTCTGTGGCAGCAGTTAGAGGTCGTGCATGTCAGACACACACAGGGTCTGTGGCAGCAGTTAAACATTTCTCTCCGGAGTCTCCACTGCTGTCTCACCTTAACCGCTCCGTCCTGTGTGTTGGTGTCTAAATACGAGGAACGTGTTTTGAGCGTCCTTCCTCATGCACATTTGCACACGTGTATAATGAAACACTTGTGCTCGTTTCAAGGCGCGTCCTGACTTGCTGGTAGTGTTTTCTGCTTGTGTAATCACATGCCTATACGTGGGTGCGTCTGTGTTCAGGGTGTTGGACCAAAACAACTGCACCACATTTGTTTTTCTCCGTAGTTACTATGTCATGTGATCACGCCACCTTAACTTCCTGTCATGGCCTGGCAGAGATGCATGACGTGAACCCTGCCAAATCACAGCCTGGCGTGAACGCTGGGGATGGTAGCTGCGTCAGAGAGGAGAGGGAGGGAGACTGTACAGGCTCGGGCTGTTTATGATCCCAGTAATGTCTTTTTTCCGGATATCGTCATCTCGTCCCTGGCGTGAGTGAGACACGCAGCAGGCCTGTGCACAACAATCATAAAATGAAAGTATTTTTCCCCATAGCTGTTCTTCAGCCCCCCCGTCTTCCCTCCACTTTCAAGGCCAGAATACCACGAGTTTTCCCAGTGAAATGAACAGTTTGCTGTTTTCCTCAGATGAATGATAAAAGCAGATTGGAGGCTGAACACAGTTTTCTTTAAAATAAAAATGATCTGAATGTTTCTGTGTACTGACCTGCCTGTGTCTCCTCAGCGAAACAGCACATCAACACTCTGGGTCACCAGCTGCAGATGAACCAGCACTGTTTGGACATGGCATACAACTTCTACAAGATGGCGCTCACCCGGCACCTGAGCTACGGCCGCAAGATATCCCACGTTATCGCCGCCTGTCTCTACATGGTCTGCCGCACCGAGGGGACGCCACGTATCCTTTCTGTTTGTTGTCTTTC